ATTTCTCAAGCGGTGGAAAGGTAGGGAGCTATGCTTTGTCCTTTGCATGCCTGTGTGTTCTGCATTGTGGGTTGGTTTCCATGCCAGCTTATGTGTGTGTGTGCAGGGCCGGTGCAAGGATTTTTGCCGCCCTAGGCAAAAGTAAAGTTTGCTGCCCCCCCCATGTGACATCACAATGCCCCACCCATATGATCTGCCATGTTAACTAACGCCAGTGCTGCAGTGCCGCCGTGTTTACATTAAAAGGCCTGCAGGGACAGGCTATGGACACCAGAACCACTACATTAAGCTGAAGTGGTTCTGGGGACTAGAGATTAGTGCCACAAATAATATACTAGATTGCCTACTTACAACCAGATGAGGATGAGGATGGGCTCTAGCTGCAGTCTGGCTCCACTGGTCTGGTGTAGAACAGGCTCTCTGGAGGCTGTTTGTAACTGTGGTCACAAAAATCAATGTTCTGGGAGAATGGGAAGCAGCTCCATTTTTTTTTAAGGCCCTTTACACAGCTCAAGGTCTGGGTCCCAGGGTCCACTTTCATGTTCCACCAATGAGTTTGTTCACAGGGGGTGGAGTAGGGGGATGTCCGGATATGTGTGTAAGGAATGCATTGTGTGAATCTGTGTTTGTATGTGAAAGGGCTGCAAGGTGTGTTTCTGTGTATGTACTGGATGCATTGAGTGTGTGCATCTGTAAGGGGTGCATTGAGTGTGTGTAAGGAATGCATTGTGTGTTTCTGTGTGTGTAAGGGATGCATTGTGTGTAAGGGTTGCATTGCTTGTGTGTGTGTGTCTGTGTGTGTAATGCATTGTGTGTTTTTCTGTGTGCAAGGGGTGCATTGTCTTTGTGTGTAAGGGGTGCATGTGTGTGTGATGGATGTCAATCTCTTCTCTCCCCCCACTCCCTCCCTTGTCCCTCTCTTCTCCCCCCTCCCTTGTCACTCTCTTCTCCCCTGCTTGTCCCTCTCTTCTCCCCCCTCCCTTGTCACTCTCTTCTCCCCGTTGTCACTCTCTTCTCCCCTCCCCACTCTCATTCCCCCATCAATTCCCCTCCCTGTCAATTTCTTCCCCCCCTGTCAATTTCTTCCCCCCCTCCCTGTCAATATCTTCCCCCCTCCCTGTCAATTTCCCCCTCCTGTCAAATCCCCTCCCTGTCAATTCCCTCAGATTCACCCCTCCTGTCAATTTCCCCCCTCACTGTCAGCTCCCCCTCCCGTCAATTCACCCCTCCGTGTCAATTTACCCCCTCCTGTCCATTTCCCCCTCCTGTCAATTCCCCATCCATTTCCCCCCTCTCCTGTCCATTCCCCCCTCCCTGTCACCCTTTTCTCCCCCATCAATTCCCCATGTCAATTCCCCCCATGACCGATTCTCCCCCATATGTCAATTTCTCCCCCTACCTCCCTGTAGCGTGGCCGAGCCCTCTATGGTATGGTCCACGGGTACAGGGAGCTTTTGTTTCCTGTACCCGGCCGGACTAACAGGAAGTGCACACTCAGGAGAGGGGGAAGGACATCCCCCTACTCCACTCAGTGTGCACTTCCTGTTAGTCCGGCCGGGTACAGGAGACAAAAGCTCCTGTACCCTCGGACCATACCATAGAGGGCTCAGCCACGCTACAGGGAGGGAGTGACAGGAGGGAGCACTGGGCACTGTCAGCCCCTCTCCCCATGCTGCGCCCGGGCGGTGCGGTCTGCCCTCATGGCGGCTGCAGCATGAGCGGGGCTGGCGCTCCTGGCGGCGCCCCCTCCCAAGGGGCGCCCTTGGCGGCTGCCTAGTCCGCCTTACAGGTAGCGCCGGCCCTGTGTGTGTGTATGTGTATGTGTGTGTGTGTGTAAATAATAAATATATATTATTGGTATGTTTCTTTTTCTAATTCAGAATAAGCGCATTGATACACAGGTTCACAGACAGACAATCTCATTGATACATATAAACTCATTGACACAAAAACACAAGCTCACTGACACACACATGCTCACTACATACAAGCTCACTGACACACATACACATGCTTACTACAGACAAGCTCACTGACACACATGTTCACTACAGAAAGCTCACTGGCACACATGTTCACTACAGACAAACTCACTGACACACATGCACATGCTCACTACAGAAAAGCTCACCGACACACACAAGCTCATTTACAGACAAGCTCAATGTAGTGGGAGGTCAGGGCTAGTAGTGGGGTGGGTCTGGGTCTGTAGTAGGGGGGTTATGACCTCTGACCTGTAGTGGGGGGGGTCAGGACCTGTAGTGTGGGATTAAAGGCTGAAATGGGGTGTCAATAGGAAGGGTAGTGGGCAATAGGGGTGGGGGGTCAGTACCTGTGGTGAAAGTTGAGGGGCAGTAAGGGGATCAGGAACTGTGGTGGGAGGTGAGGGGCATAAGTGAGGGTCAGGACCTGTAGTGGAGGGGTCAGGACTTGTAGTGGGGGATAATAGGCAATAAAAGGGGATTAGGGGCTGAGCTGTAGTGGGTTCTTAGTGGCAATAGTGATGGGTTAGGGACTGTAGTGGGTTCTTAGTGGCAGTAGTGATGGGTTAGGACCTGTAGTAGTTGGTTAGAGGCAAGAGTAGGGGCTTAGGACCAGGAGAGAGAGACCTGGACTGGGGATCTGCCTAAAGCTTAACATAGCCTGGTTCACTAAACAGTGAACTGTGCTATGTGAAGCTGATAGCTGCTGTGGTACTATCTGTGTGGTAAATATATATGAAGAATGTGAGTATTTGCCCCACACACCTGTCTATGTCTCCCCTTACTTTCTCAGTATCACTCCACTTCCTTCTCTCCTCACACCTCCCCAGTTGTACCTCTGCCTCCATTAACCATTTTTAACCTCTTTCTCCTCAAGCGCCCACTTTTATTTCTGTTCTAACTTACCTCTTTCTTGAGTCTCTTCTCTCTTTCTCTTCACCAGCCCCTGAGCAGCATGCCTCTACAGTAATCCTGTCCACAGCGTTTACTCCTAGCAGAGCTTACTACACGTGTTGGGAGCACACAGCATGTGTGTAGAAGGAGGAGCAGATGTCATTCCCTATCCTCTCCTCTTATTCAACACCGAGCACTCCTCCCTGCACACAGAGAGCAATACTTGGCAGGGAGACTTCTAACACTGCTAGGTCTCGCTACATAAAGGGAAAGGGAGGGAGAGGTTTACACTTTACCGGCTCATTAAGCAGCAGGCTCTCCTCTGGGCACCCCCAGTGAGCTGGTAAGTTCCTCCCTGGGAGAGGAGGCAAACTTAAAAATACAGGGGGGGGGGGCAAGTGCCCACTCTTGCTCCCTTCCTCGCCCTTGTGGATGCCCATGGTGGCTACATGAAACATATGTGGGAACTGTGGATGAATAGGAGACCTTAATCTACCCTAACACCAAATCAGCTAGTTACACAACGTTTGAACATAGTCAAGAGGAAGCTATTGTCTAAATTGCATTAGATGGACTACAAAAAACATCAACCAAGAGTCATGAGGTGGAAGAAATTCTATTACCAACATCCATACTTGCCAAACTGACTCTCTGCCCCAAGATGCATAACAACAGATCTAAGAAAGATAATCCTAGAAAAGCTGGAAGCATTTGACCAGTGAACAAGACTGCCAAAGATCACTGGTAAGCTGCCAGCAGACAGTTTGTAAGCTGCAGTTAATGAGGCACAGTTCTCAATTCCAACTCGCACCATCACAGAGACCAACAGCCTCATATATGCCGCAGCATTAGTGGTCTTCCAGATGCTTGACTACAAGATCAACCTCAAAGAGAAGCAATGCACACTATGGAGATTACGACTGCAAGCAAGATAAAAACAATATGGAAGAAAGTTGGTAAGCTGGATTGATTACACAAGGACAGATCCTTGCTACTGAGGAAATACAACAATATGTCCATACCAAAGGCATTGGAAAAAGCTAAACAAAGACTGACATCATTGGCAATCAGACTGAGCAGATGTACTACAGAAAAAACAGGCCCTGAAGCGCAAGCTCAAGAATTAAGCCATCAACACATATGCTCTACCAATCATCAGTTTCCCAGCTGCAATAATAACCTGGCCAAGAGAAGAACTGGTCACCGTGGATGTCAAGACCTGGAAACTACTCACTATTAATGGAGGAGTCAACCCCAAATCCAGCACTCAGAGACTGTACACTAACCAGAAGGAAGGAGGTCGGGCCTTGATGAGTGTCAAGACCACAGTCCTGCATGAAACACAGAGCTTCCACAACTACATCACAAACATGGCTCCCAAAGATGAACTTACTACTAGAGATGAGCGAACCCGAATTGTAAAGTTCGGGTTCATACCAAACATTATGATTTTTGGACCCCGAACCTGGACATTTCAGTGACAGTTCGGGTTCGAGTTCAGTGTTCGGCGATTTAATGGCATGTTTTGAAAAGCTGCAGGGCAGCCAATAAACAAGCGTTTGACTAGTGTGCCCTTAGAAACCATCACAGCCATGCCTATTAATGGCATGGCTGTGATTGGCCAGTGCAGCATGTGACCCAGCCTCTATATAAGCTGGAGTCAAATGAGCTCTTATTAGTGTAGGGAGAGGATGCTGCAGCTGTGAGGGACAGATTAAGAAAGAATTCTGGTGTTGAATCTGCAAACTACAGCGATTATTTTTGTGGGTGCTATATTACATTTTTGTACCCTGCCCTGAGCCACCCGCGTACCCACCCGCGTACCCACCCGCGATCCCTGGCACTGAATGCCAGCATTTCAAAATTTCTGTCCTTTGAAATGCTGTCATTCTGTCTGGTGGAGACGGACAGTTTAAAAAACCAGATGGCGGTGGCTGTCCCACAGTATGTGGTTCCCAGCCGCCACTACTTTTCCAGGCGAGCCATCCCTGCTGCTGCTTGCCTGTCTGCGCTGCAGCGTAACTTCGGCCTTCCTACTCACCACTTCATATGTGACGTGCCCACAAGGTGGAACTCCACCTTGCACATGCTGGAGAGACTGTGCGAAAAGCAGCAGCAGGCGATAGTGGAGTTTCAGCTGCAGCACGCTCGGGTCAGTTGCTCTGCACCAGACTTGCCCTCCAATAGATCCTCGTTAAAGGATTTAAAGTGTACTCATTCCAATTACATGGCCTCGAAAGAGTCCTGTATTGTTATTTATCGTCACTACCTCCTCGTGTCGAGAGTGGGTAATTTGCACGCCTGCTGCCTTCCTTGGATATGGTAGCCGTTTCTTAGGCTTCCTCTCCGGAATTGAACCCCGATTCCTTGTTACCTGTGGTCACCATGGTAGGCGCAGAAAGTACCATCGAAAAGTTGATAGGGCAAACATCCGAATGATTTCTTAAAACAAAATAAATCAAGCTAGGTAGGTATGACAAATCAGTAAACAAGGTAAAGATGGAGCCTTTTATTCACAGTGATCAATCGATAGTGATTAATAGTTTTATCCATAGTGCTTAATAGGTAATTAGTGATTTTATGCTATCAAGAAGACAAAGATGTCAGCAGGGAGTATAAAGACAAAGAAAAAACAAGATACATCAACTGACATTTTGCTTGATAATGGATATTGTTAGGTATGAAAATACACAATATAAGAACAAATAGTCCACATCTCTGAATGTAATAGGTCACCTATGGTTATCAATCTGCTCAATCTATGCCCTTCAGTGAATACACAATGACCTGGTGAGAGGGTATGCAAAGGTCCCGCTTAATAGTATCCCAACGGCCCCAGCCAGAATACAGTCTGATCTCATAAGTCACTTGAGAAGTTGCAAGAAGGACTTGATCTCGGGGCCCATTACCAGGCTTCATACATCTGAATGAAATCATCCCAGTCAAATTAAAACAAACAAAAACTGACATTATTCTGTATGTTTAAATGTTCTTCCTGACCTTCTCCTTGCCAATCTGTTTAATGTCATTCTTTATCTTACTAGCATTACTTCCTCACCAGAGTATAAATCACTTCATATCTGCCTTTCTTTCCCCCTGTTGTCACTATTAACTAAATCTTATTCTGATGTATTTAAGTTATAAAGTATTATTGCATAATTTAGAATAACACTTAATATACTACTTCACATTTTTACTAATTTGCCTTGCAAAACAAATTTAATCCCTGAATCCTCACTTACCTACACATTTAACTCCAGAAATAAATACTGACTTGGAACAGGAACAGACTTCTTTAACTAGGATCTCAAACCACCTATTTAACATCTGCAAATGTACTAAAATTGGCAGAATCCCACTCTCCTTTCAAAATGTAAAGAACATTTCAAATATCATACAATTCCTACAGTCAGGGAGACATGACTGTGCTTTCTCATATGCCTCTATTTTTTAAATACCTTTATTTTAGAAATATAAGATTAAACTGTACTTACAGTGCTCATTTTAATCATGGATTTACATGCTGTGGTCATTTTCAGTAGCCTATACTGCTAGCAATGTCACCAGGGTACTTACAAATACCTACAAACAGTACATTTGACCATTTTTATTTATCTGTTTTCATACCTCCTACATGTAAGAAAAATAGAATTTTTGCTTGCATACTAATTTTTCACACCTTGTGTGGGATATTTCACGATAAGGGATCCTATATAATGCATAAACCTTTATATTTCTATAAAGGATCAACAAATAATTAAATAATTGTGTACAATGGCACAATTTTATTCTATATACATAACTGCAGTTGTCTCATTTATGTGCTACCTACGCGTTTCAATTTCAATGCAATGCTAATACTGCTTCCAATAAAGAATGCTTGGTTTTGAAAGAGTTAAATGAATATTATACCCTGAGAACAAGCTGAATGGACTTCTTTGATTTAGATATTTAAATTATTTAGTTGAATCTTCTCAAAACATTTGGGTAACCAGTTTTTGCTCCCACCGTACCTTTTGGTCTGACACAAACGAAAAATAATCCTTCAATAATATCATAAGGTTCTAAATATTATGTATCAGAAAACTAAATATCTGCCATTCATATAGAATTGTACTGATTTAATTTATTTCAGGCAAAGTCTAAATGATCAAAATTTTAAATAGTTGGGCTGTGTAAGATTAGTGCATTTCAAGTAAATTTAATACTAAATAACTATTTCCTCTTTCCACCTTTGATGGTGGCCCTGCCATGTTCTACCTTGTGACATATGTTCCTTACTGATTTCTGTATTCTGTTTTTTTCTTTAGCTCTTCAGACAACCATTCATTAAATGGGTGGCAAAAGGTCAATGGGATCAAAGAGTTTTATGTCTAGGAAACTGTGGTATTTAACAAATTATTCACACTGGAATACTAAGTATTACACAGAGGTCATTTGAGCAATTACAATTGTCTGACACAGCTTGACAAGGAAAACACCTCAGTAATTTGGCTTTATATTTTAGAGTTGATGTTAATGCCAATAGGTTAATATAGTCCCTACTCAAAACCCCAGTTTAATGCATTCTTTATGTTACACTTTTTTTATAATTATCATGTGTTCACATATCTATGTTTTTTCAAGAGAGAGAGAGAGACACACAAATTATAGAAAACAGTAACGTATGTATTATTTAAAATGAGTTGAGAAATTGTAGAGACAAAAACTATGAGATAACTGAAGGTCAAGTGATTTATAAATGTTTCCAGAAACTCAAGATTACATTATTTTTATCTATCATGTGCAACACTGTTATGTATGTTTTATGTAGCATGATTGTCTTATATTTTTTATATATTTTCATATATTTATTAACGTTTGGTCCAGAATAGCTGGGTTGCCAGAGAGGGCAACACAGATATTTACACATACACACAGACACATGCATAAGTACATTCAAAATCATAGTTGCTTCCTTCTTAGTGTAGCACTAAGACATACATGAGCTGATCTGCTTGAGATTGATAGAAGTCACTCTTTCCATAAATAGCGAAAATGGATATCATGGCACTTGGAAAAGGTGCAGAGTCGAGCTACAAAATTAATAAAAGGAATGGAGCATTTTAGTTACGAAGAAAGGTTAAAAAAACTTAAATCTCTCAGAGGGGATATGATAATATTATACAAATATATTCGGGGCCAGTACAAACCATTATCTGTAAATCTATTCATAAACAGGGCTATACATAGGACACAAGGTCACGCATTTAGGCTGGAAGAAAGGAGATTTCATCTAAGGCAAAATACATGTTTTTTTACAGTAAGAGCAATAAGGAATTATCTGCCTGAAGAGGTGGTTTTATCATAGTCCATTCAGATGTTTAAACTGCAATTGGATAAATACTTCCAAAAACATAACAAACAGTGACATCATTTCTTAATAGCTGCTTTATACCAGGAGATAACTGACTGCCATTTTGGGGTCAACAAGGAATTTTCTTCCTAGTTTGTTGCAAAATTGGAAGAGCTTCAGATTAGGTTTTTTGCCTTCTTTTGGATCAACAGCAAAAACAAATGTGAGGAAGGCTGAACTTGATGGACGCAAGTATCTTTTCAGTTATTTAACTACAATGTAACTATGTAATGTAGCACTTACGGGATATAAAAGTAAAACATCCCAGACAGACTTTACATATACATGTATCTAAATATATCTTGATACCTTATGAAAGACCCAAGAGTGCTTATTTCTTGCTAGTTACGCATGGACTGCACATAGAACCATTCAAGGATATGTGTATACACTTGGACAGACATACAGAGTGACAGCCATATAGATAGATAGATAGATAGATAGATAGATAGATAGATGCCTATGCACGTGCACATGTGTGTCAAAAAATGCTGAACTGAAAACATAGCTAACATATTTGGATTGGAGAAAGTTTCCAATCCAACTATTGTTGCCAAAAATTTGAAGCTGACTTTATGGTCAATATTGATTTGTGTAAATAGTCATTACAGAGTTCCTTCTTAATACAATCAAATACAATCACATGCACCTAGGGGCGTCCCAATTGAAATTGAAGTGAGGAGCACTGAGTCTCCCTTCACTTGCTGCCGCAGCACTGTGGCTGTGGAACTGTTTTCCACCCTTTTCCCACGTGTGGCCAGAGGGGGCACTGTGCTGGGAGGACTTCCTCCTAGGTCACAGACAGCAGCACAGGGGAGAGACAGGGACAGGAAACTCAGCTCTGCACAGAGGCATCCAGACAGCTGCTGGTAAGTGTGAGTCAGTGTGTGTGTGGTTCAGTCGCTGTGTGTATGTGTATGGGGTCAGTCTGTGTGTGTGTTTGTGGGTGTGTGTGTGTGTGTGTATGGGTCAGTCTGTATTTGTGTGTATGGGTCGGTCTGTATGTGGGGGGCTCAGTCTGTGTATGTGTATGGAGCAGTCTGTGAATGTGGGGGGGTCAGTCTGTGTGTTGGGGGGTCAACCTGTTTGTTGGGTTGGGAGTTCAGTCTGTGTGTGTGGGGGTCAGTTTGTGTGTATGGGTCAATCTGTGTGGGGTGGGTCAGTCTGTGTGCGAGGGCTGCTCAGTATGTGTATGTGTGCATGGATCAGTCTGTGTGTGAGGGGGTCAGTCTGTGTGTGTATGGATCAGTCTGTGTGTGAGGGGGTCAGTCTGTGTGTGTATGGGTCAGTCTGTGTGTGTGTATGGGTCAGTCTGTGAATGTGTATGGGGCAGTCTGTGTGTGCTGTGTCAGCCTGTTTGTTGGGTTGGGAGTTCAGTCTGTGTGTGTGAGGATCAGTTTGTGTGTATGGGTCAGTCTGTGTGGGGCTCACTCTGTATGTGGGGGGGGGGCTCAGTCTGTGTGTGCATGAGTGTGGGGGAGGGTTCAGTCTGTGTGTTTGAGGATCAGTCTGGTGTGGAGGTTCAGTCTGTGTGTGTGGGGTTCAGTTTGAGTGCATGGCTCAGTCTGTGTATGTATATGGGGCAGTCTATGTGTGCGGTGTCAGCCTGTTTGTTGGGTTTGGAGTTCAGTCTGTGTGTGTGAGGGTAAGTTTGTGTGTATGGGTCAGTCTGTGTGGGGTGGGTCATTCTGTGTGTGGGGGGGGCTCAGTCTGTATGTGGGGGGGCTTAGTCTGTGCATGAGTGTGGGGGAGGGTTAGTGTGTGGGGGATCAGTCTGTGTGTGTATGGATCAGTCTGTGTGTGGGGGTGACAGTCTGTCTGTGTGTGGTGGCGACAGTCTGTGTGTGTGTATGGGTCAGTCTGTGTGTATGTGTCCGTCTGTGTGGGTATGGGTCAATCTGTGTATGGGTCAGTCTCTGTGTGTGTGGGGGGGGTCAGTCTGTGTATGTCGGGGACAGTCTGTGTGAAGGAGCAGTCTGTGTGTGTGTATAGGTCAGCCCGTGGGGGGGCAGCCTGTGTGTGTATGTGTGTGTGTATGGGTCTGTGTGTGTATGGGTCAGTGTGTGTGTGTGGGGGGGGGTCAGTCTGTATATATGTATGGGTCAGTCTGTGGATTTTGTATGGGTCAGTCTGTGTAAGTGCTTGAGCTCCAAGAGAGACACCTCTCATCTGGTGACCTCCCCTGTACCTGATTGATAGGCAGCCTTCACAACCACTACGGATGTGATTGTGCCACCCCCTCCCTGCAAGGTAAGATCAGGGAAAGTGAAATATTAT